TGTGAAAGATCACCACTTACTTGGTCAGCCCTGAAGAGGAGGGGGGCAGTGAGACCCCCCAGGACCCCCACAACCCACTGACTCATTTCTAGAACATTTCTGAACATTCCTGAGCACACACTGCACCTGCTCAGTGATGACTGACCCTCACCTATGGGGTTATAAAAAGGGGAAACATAAGTTTTCAGTGCACGCCCACCACCTAAGACTACAACTACGAGCAGAGAACAATGCTGGATCCAAGGGTGGTGATATCATCTCTCTCTCTTTTCTTTCTCTCTTTCTTTTCCTCTCTAACACTCTCTTTGTCTCTAACTTAATTTTCAGCACATTAGGGTAACATTGTCACATGTTTTGCTAAACCCTTACCTTTCATAGTTCTGCTAAGTTTTGAGCATTGTTATGACTTTTGCCAAGCCTCTATCTTTTGTAGTTCCACTGAGTTTTAAGTAAATTTATGATTGGTTTGAACCTCTAAAGTAATTGTCATTACTCCTGATTACCACACAGAGAATTAAAAAGTTAACCTCACCCTAACCCCCTGAGTGGGACAGGACACTATCCAGTGGGCACAGCAAGTGTTTGTAAGCTGTGAAGCAGGTTTATGCAGCAGGTTTGTGCACATCCAGTTAGTGGAAGAGGCATTTGCAGGGCGATGATGCCTATTCAGATTGTGCAGAAACTGGATGTTTGTGCAATATCACTTTCTGCAGCACGTTTTGCTTAATTTGTTTTACATGCATGTTACTGCTGCAGGTTTCTGCATATCACTCAAGCCCTGTGGCAGTATCATTGTAGGTGTCAAGGCATCTTGAGGAATATGGGCAGGTATGTAAAAAGTTTGTCACCCCTGATGGTCTGGGACTTCACTCCCAAACAAGTGCAAAGTCCTGATGAAGTGAGAGAATGTTTGAAAAAAGATGCCATGGCTATTCCAGAGAGGCACAACTTACTGCACTGTGCTGCAGCCTGACCTGCATCTACTGAACACTGCTCAGTACTACTCATCACCTTCAAGGAGAGGAGAGAGGCTCTTGATCTGAAGACATACCAAAAGACACTGTGGCTAAACCAGAGACCTAGCCTTCAACTATATGTCACCCCTATAATTAAGAAGAAACAATGGAAGCACAAGTCAACTCCTTTAATAAGGGATGAAGAAGATTCTCCTAAGAGGGAGCAGAAGAGAGAAGCAGTAGAAGCTGCCTGTTCTGCAGCAGAGTAGTCATAAGAACAGGAGGGAGAAAGGACTGAAATAATAAATGACACAGAAACCACTCAATCTCTATCCTTAAGAGAGCTGCAATATATGTGAAAATATTTCAGCCGTCAACCAGGCAAGCAAATTGCCAGCTGGTTACTCTGATGCTAGGGTATTGGGGCCAGTAGTCATGAATTAGAGAATAAGGCAGGCCAGCATCTGGGATCCCTTGCTATGGATAAGGCCATTGACAAAGGGATTGGCAAAGGGGCAAGGAGTCTTCCATCTTTGAAGGCGACACCTGTTGAGTGTGAGGGACAGGTATCCCTTCAAGGAAGATCTTGCAAATTCTCAAAGCTACTGGACCACCACTGAGGGGGGTATCCAGTCTCTGAGGGAATTAGCCACAGCGGAGGTGATCTATAGCAACCTGGATGACAACCATGTATCCAAAGACCTGGATGAAATCCAGCGCACATGGTCCATGGGGCAAAAGTTTGTACAAAGTGCATCGACATCATATGCAAACACCCTGGCAATAATGAGCTGGACAGACACAGAGGCATGAACTGTAGATGGATTGGCCAGACAACTCTGAGAATTCAAGGAGAATCTTGCTTCTTCCCTGCAGACCTGTGTCTCAGCTGTGAAGAAGCTGTCTGAACAATTGTCCCAGCAATTAAAAGGACAGGTCTTCCTCACCCCTACCAACCAATGTCTCAGCTATTAAGAGTCAACCTTTTTCTGTTCAAGGGAAAGGGTACTGGTGGCACATACCATATGCCACCCCTGCATGACCAGGAGAAATACATAGGAAGTGGGACGGTGAGCCTACTTGGTGGCTCAATGGTGGATACACAACCCTAGTATTTGCCATGGATCACTACAGACTGCACTGGAACAAGGCAAAGCTCCTAAACACCTGCAGTATTTTAGTGACATCGTTGTGTAGGGCAAGCTGCCCCTAGGCAGGTCCCAGTATATGTGCCGACAGAGTGTCATGTGAGGCTTAATTAACCCTTTGGTCTTGGGTGAAAGGAGGGCTGCAATAGCACTGAAAGCAACTTTATGTTTGTTTCAAGCAGTGCCTCACTTTTACAGTGTGCATGGTTCTGGACTCAGGGCCTGAATTGGCTTTGCCAGGTTGTGGTGCCTCCTTGAAGGCCAGGACAGCCCTTTCCAAAAAGGTCCATTTGCACCACTTGCCATGCAGTAGACTGGGGTGCTCACAAGAGTTGTGGCTGGAAGGGGCAAGCTGTGGAATAGACTGTGCCCTCTAACAACTTGATGCTACCTTCCCACCTGCTTTTTCTTTAGAAGAATGGTTTGCTCTATTTGAGTCTTGCTGGTCCCTGTGCTTTGCATTGAAATTGATTTTAAATTCTCTTAGAATACTTCTCACTGCAGGATTGTTCTCCTCTTCAAGCCAACTCTGACCGTAAAAATCTTTCGCAGCCTCTTGTGTTCAGGTTTTGGTGGTGGGGGAAGGGTATTTTGGTTTTAAGTTCAGCCCTCTTCCTCAGGGATGTAAATGAGACAGGTGTATTTTTTTTTACATTAGAGCTTCCTACTTTGGCCAAGCTCTGGGAGGAGAATTTTGCCACTTTTTCATCCTGTGAAGGAAAGCTCTGCTCCAATCTGGGTTTCCTAATGGGATGTGACTCCTCCCTTGTTTTTCAGGGTGCCAAGCTGTGGCTCATCCTGCTCTGCAGAACAGGGATATGCCTGATCACCACTGAAGAGAGACAGATGATATTAACAGCCAAACAGAGCATAGGTAAACTCCAGTCAGGGAACATTTATTGAGCAGAGAGGGCAGAGGAGGAGGGTTAGAGTGCCCAGTGAGGCAGGAGGCCAGGGACTGCCCTGCACTGGTCAGCCAGTTCAGCACAAAGAGGCTATCTCTGTATCTGCTGGACTGAACAGCTGAAGGGCACTCACATTTCAATGCACACATGTGCTACAGCCATCTGATGCAGTCCCAGAACCCTAATACCAGCACGTCTCTACTGGCTGGAGAGCCAGGCTATGGATCAGCACAGAGTAATTAATAACTTGTTCTTTATTACTGGGATTATGATCCAAACATCACCATTCTAGCTGTGCTTTCACTGTGCTCCAAGCAGAGCTCTGCCCTTCTTGCAGGCTGCATCCAAGGACAAACATAGGATTTCAGCTTTGTCCTGGAGCTCAGACCATATGGCATCATGGGGACTGGAGCCCATCAAGTATTAGGAGTCCATAAGGACAAAACTTGTTGCTTGGGGAGTGGATATAGGGTGATTATGCTCAATACCAAACTAGCTTCTTTCTACTGTGGGCTGTCTATAACCTCAAGTGGGAATGGCCCCTAGCCTCCCTAGAGGCAATCCAGAGATCCTAGTTGGGATCTTGAGAGAAGCAAAACCAAATAAAACAGAATGCCAGGCCTGGACAGGAGAAGTCATTTTGGATTTATCTGGGATGTGCTTGGCAGGATGCCCTGGGTGACTGTACTAGATGGTCATGAAGCCCAGGGCTTCTGGATGATTCTACTCTCATCAAGCCTGGGGGCAGTGAGGGCCCCGTTCCCCCCACAAAGATCAAGGTAAGGTGCACTTGAACTAAAAAACAGTAACAGAAACATCAGAACAAAGACACTGACTGTTCAAAAAACTAATTAAAGAAAAATACTATTCACAGCACTTTTTAGGGAAAAAAAAGTAATGAGTGTTTTACTTCAAAGAAATTCTACTGTTTGGGGTTTTGCTACTATAAATGCAGAAAGACTGAGAAGTGAAGTCTGACAAAAACAAGCTGGCTAAGGGGCTTCAACGTCTGACAGTGATTTACAGTTGCTAATAAATAATCAATATTGGCTATTCACTGGAAAGGCAGTGCCTCTCAGCTATGTTACTTTCATTCTTCCAATGCAACAGTCAAGCTAATGAGTTGTCAGGAATGTCACAACCTCCATTGCAGCAATAAAGGCAGTTCATTTTCATCTCCTTGAGCATGTAAGGATTTAGATTAGAACCAAGGAGATGAAACAGAGGTTAACTGCGCTGTTAGCTCCTTCACTCACATGGGACAGACTTCACGCAACAGAATGCAGATGACAATGCATATGACTAAAATGCAACAGTAAGAACATTTAAAGGATTAGTTAAACAGGTTATTTTGTTCCATTTTAATCTAATGACATTTCTGCCATCAAGTTCAGCATGTAAGAATGACAGGCTTGCATATCTATCAGTTTACTTCTCAGCAGCTTAACCTTTTTCCCCTCTGGGAAAACACTCCATCCACTACGCCAGCAGAAACAGTCCATTTTGTAGATAACCTCAGTGCTGGGCATGCAACAGCATTACATGAAGTAAGGGAATACAGACCGCATACAGAAAAAATGCAGGCACTGGCACTTTGTAGCATTCATTTCATTTCTACTCCAAACGGCTCTGGCTTTGGAATTCTTTATTTGGTTTGAAGTATGCTGAACACAGATCCTGTATCAAAGTTCTTCCAGGTCTTCCCCAAGCTTCCCTCCCACCTCTTACCTGCCTGGGTGGATATACTACTAATGTTCTGGAATGCTGGTTAAGATGATGGCCAACTGAAGCTACTAAAAGAAGGCAGAAGTTGGCAGTATCAGATATGACTGCAGGGACACACTTCCCCTCTAACTCTCCTGTTCTAGGCTCCTGGAATACATGTAAAGCAGTAAGACTTCTGTCAAAATATAGAGGAGGGAGAAACATGTTCCCTAGGTGCATGCCCTCCAGAACTGAAGTCTCTTCAGGTGCTGCCCAACCCCATCATTGAGCTAGAACTGCACTGCATCATGCAGCACCTGGAGATACACCACTGCTTTTCATCAAGCTGGGGCAGATAAAGTCCTTATCCTGTAGAAGTGCTCTTTGCTGCATGCTAGTATCTTCACTGTAAGGTAACATAGGGCCACCCTTCAGCCAGGAGTAGGTCTGGTAGGTTTTTTTTCATGTCTGTCTTCTGAAGGGTCTGCATTTCCTCCTTCATTCTAAAGCAGCTAGTTCCTCCAGGAGCTGCTCTTTCTCCTGCTGCAGCTCCTGCACCCGCTGTTTGTTCTGCTGTAGTCTGTCCTCCAGCCACTGAAGGAGTGGCCCACTGATGGCAGACATCTGGCTGCAGAGGTTCTTTGTGAACACTGGAAAGAGCAAGAACACATCATGCCAGTGCAAAAACACAAAAGACTCAGTGTGCTACAACCCCAAAGCCAAGAGCGTTAGAGGCAGCCAAGAAAACTCTCCAACATTTTGGCCAAGGCAACCAGACATCCCCACAGGAAAGTCAGAATCAGCAGCTAAACAGGGAAACAAGCTATTTCAATCTGACCTTAAGACACTCAAGGGAGGGATGACAGACCTACAACAGAAATCTGGAAATCCGCATATAAGTCATCACTGATTCTAATTAATTTCTAAATTCAGAAGCACAGAAGGCCTCATTTATTGAACAGGTGAGAATGGACAATGGGCTATTTATCACGGAACTGAAGTGGGATTAGGATTCACTATCTCACTGGCAAAAGCAAAGATGTCATGCCATATGCACGTAACACTGGAAGTGCCAGGAGATGCAACAAGCATATAGATCAGCCAGACATTAAGACTCACCAAATCCAAAATCCCCTTGCTGTTCTAACTGCAAAAGAAAACCCCAAACCAACCCCAAAAAAGCCAAATAAACTCAAAGTCTATTGTAATTTTAACCAATTGTACAAAGGGCAAAAGATACGCAGCATTCATAAATCCCAGGATTAGGTTATTTTATAGCCCTTGATGTTTTCCTTTAAAGCATTTAGTTACAATTCTATTCCTCCACTAGACTTTATGTAATGAGTTAACAGTCTCAGGGAATTCTCTGGGTTACACAGCATTTGTGATTGGAAATGAACGGTATGACAAAAAAATACAAAAGTTTGTACTTTTATAGTTATTTACAAGTGCCTGTTATGGCAAAGGGAGGACTGTTACACAGCTGTGGTCTACCGTCCCCCAAAGTTAGAGCCAAACCAACCCCTGCTCAAGACTACTTTTTTGACTGTGGAAGCAGCATTCTGGATTCTCGCATGCAAAAAAAGAAGCCTTACCTGAGCCATTATGAATCTTGGTTACAGAGTCTAGATGGGTGAGGCTAAAAGAATGAACAGAATGCAGATTAGTGACAAGATAGTAGTAAATTGCATATTAGGCAAACCCAGGCTATGGAACCAGCTACCTACAAGTCATTGACACTGCATGTACATCTAAACCTCTTCACTTTTTGAAGCCCTGTACATTTACAAGTCTAACAGAGAGCTTACAGTACAGAAACATCAACGTTGAGCACCACAGGGAGAAAAAAAACCAAAAAGCTGATATTTAATCTAATTTTTCAGACTTCTCAGCACTCTTACCCTGGTTAAACACTATGTACTGTCACACACAGCCACCATTAGCTCACACACGTTCTAGCTCTTTTTTTTGTTGCAGCAAAGGAGCAGTTACACTTAGCTCTTGTGTGCAAGGCTGAGAGAACTTGAACTCTTTAATGTGAAGGTTCTCCTACAAAAGCACGTGAGCTGCTAATGCTTATTTTCTATACACCTGCTAAGGTTACAGTACTGTAAGCACAGCAACAGTAGAACATGTTAGCAAAAACAGTCCTGGAAAGGGGTGCAGCCCCAGTGTTGTTACCTGTGAATTCTCCTGTAGGCATCTTGCTCTTCTTGGCAAAGGATCTTGGGCAGCTCTACAGCTGATTCCAGACACACTTTCCCAATGGTTTCATGGGGAACAACATGAATAGGAATTTCAATCCTTTCATATCTAAAAGGGTATCAGATACAATTAACTCCAAAGCAGCAGAGGGAGAAAAAAAAAAAGAACTTCTACAAACCTGCAACTGTCTCTCCAATACATAGCATTGATGCAGACTTACTTTGGGGAACACATGCCTGAGTTGATATGCAAATGGAAGCCTTTTAGAGCCACACATTTATCTTAAATTTTAATGATAAAATACTAAAGCAAATAGCCAGTATAGACAATATGATGCACAGCATGCATGCAGTTAGTGGGGAGACTACACCATGCAAGCTTGAAGCCTTGACCTCTAGAGTTCAAAGCAAAAGGGTAGGCTTTCTACGCAACAGATTACAGCACAAATTCATAACCAGACTACAGTGTCCTACACCAAATCTTAAGCTACTAAATTATCTAGGCTAAATTAATCAGTCCTAAACTTTAGATTCTCTTCAAGTAGCCTGCATTAGCAGAAGTAAGGAGAGCTTGTTCAGACATCTCTATACAATATTTACTCATCATGATGAGTCTAGAAGCCACTTATTTGAGACAACTCGAAAAGGAGAGACAAGATGAAATACAACCTAATACTAGACAGAATATTCTTCTGCTATACTCACTCTGAGCTCTTCTGGGCCTGAATGGACTGGAAACAGGTGTAGAGAATCCTGCCTGTCTAAGAGAAACAGAAGAAAATCAGATTCGAAGAAGAAAATATAATCTAAAACCACACAGTCTTTTAGGAAGTGGAATATGCTTCGAAATAGCATTTTAACAGGTTGCTAAGGTGCATGCTTTTCACTTTGATTGGCATGCTGGAACTGTTTATGAGTAGATATTGATAGATCCATTAACTACAGAAAAAAAAATTTTAACCAATAGGTACCTGGAAAACCTAGACAAGATACACCACTGTCAGCTGATCTCACACTATAGCAGCATTTCCTAAAGAGGCTAGAGGCAAAGAGGTGCAATAAGCTGCATCTGCTGGACTGAACAGCTGAAGGGCACTCACATTTCAATGCACACATGTGCTACAGCCATCTGATGCAGTCCCAGAACCCTAATACCAGCACGTCTCTACTGGCTGGAGAGCCAGGCTATGGATCAGCACAGAGTAATTAATAACTTGTTCTTTATTACTGGGATTATGATCCAAACATCACCATTCTAGCTGTGCTTTCACTGTGCTCCAAGCAGAGCTCTGCCCTTCTTGCAGGCTATATCCAAGGATTTCAGCTTTGCTCTGGGGCTGATGTTTCTTATTAGCACGTGGAGGGTTTATTGCCATTTTTAAGTTGCCTACCTTTGTGTTTTTGTCCTCAATGAAGCAGGAAAAGATAAGTCCTACAAAACCTTGATCCATCATCTGATACATAGCTTGTGTGCGGACATCTGCAGACAAAGAAATAAGTGAATGGGAACTGCACTGGTCACTTGAAGAAGTGGAAAATGATTTGCCTCCTTTTGAAGGGTGACCTGAAATTTGGTAACAAATGTCACAAGCTTTATTTTAAAGTACTTACCCCAGGTGACCAAGTTAAAAAATCCAATTTAAAATGTAATTAAATAGCAAATCTTAAAAATACAAGATGAGTTAACAAAACAAGAAATTATCTTAGCCTCAGCCTGGTGCCACAGATCACTATAAAGCATAATGTCCAACATGTGTAAGATACTCACTTTTTTCAAAAGTGTTTGGTTTTGTATTAACACCCACAGATGTCAAAAATCATCACAGCAGGCGTATGATTCCCACAGCTTTTTTTGCTGTTTCCCACACCCTAGGTCTAGTTTTCCTGTCTGGAAGAACAGTAGTTCTAGTAGTAGCTGATCTGTGACTACTAAGTCACTTGCAGTTTGAGCACCTGGAAGCATAGAGACAGGAATGGGGCTATACTGGCAGAGGTTCCTGAAGCCCACCAAGACAATCTTGTCCTATCAGAGGACATCTGAGAAACCAAACTTTGATAGTTGGGATGTGCAGCTCTGAAAATCTAGTAAGTTGAGTAATGTGATTAGCCAGCTGTGAATTTTCATATAGAACTTAGACCAAGACTGCTCTTACCAACATGCGATGGCCAGACAGTAATATGAGGATGAGAGTGATACCAGCCCACAACTCTCATGGGACGTCCCGTCATTTCAGCCAACCTGTGTGTAAGTCAAGGTGCTTCTGACACCAACAGCAAGTGGAAGAAGTTTTTTTGTACAAGGAGAACCAACAGAGTTTTAAAAGAGTTTCTCATTAGTCAACAGAATTCCAGATCCCTTTAGCGGGGTGGCAAGCCACATGGCTGGAAGCTGACAGAAGCCTCTTCCGCAGCACCAGCAGGATACCACTGCTGCGGAAGCAAATGGGGTTTGTTTGCATGTGGCAGTAAGTGACATGGCAGCAAGCTGTCCAAAACAGCATTCGTGAGTGTATGTAAGGAAGAGGTTTTTCAAGGCACCATGCTTGGAAACAGACTTGTCAACATTTCATCTCCTACTATATCTCCTTACTAAAATCCTACCCTTGCCCCAAAATGTACTTCAGTTTTACATGTGACCAAATACAAAGAAATTACAAAAAACAGTTATAACACATATCTACTACAAACACTGGAACCAACAAAGACTCCAGAGAATGGCAACTGCCAGCACAGCCCTCCAAACTGAATAGTTGCAGGAGGGAAGCAGCAGACAATTCAATTTCAAGCAAACCAGAACAAGTCTAAAACACAGCATGTAAAAAGGAGTCTGAGGTAAACCACTTCACTGGCAAGTTTGCTGCTGTCTCTACTAAAGGATATCTCTGCTTCAGTAGAAGCAGCTGAAAGCTGCTCTGGCGAAATTTCCACACGGTCTTTTCTCTTATCAGAGCGACGCAGGATGATCACTGAGTGGATATGAACAATTCGGCTGGTGTCAACCTAATGACACAGAAGAAAAAAACCCGATCATTTCTCTTCAGTACCTTCAGTAGGAAAAAGGCACACATCAGAGTACATGCACATGGGAGCCTTTCCTGACTCAAAGCTTTGATTTTCACAGCAGCTGGAACTACAAGTCGGCGCTAGCAAGGAGCGGAAAGGCGAGGCCCAAGACCCATCAGCACGGCTGTGAGGGAACCGCCCTCACACTAACCTGTACAACGCTCCCTGCCGCAGTGATCGAGCCCACTCGGAAGATAAAAACCCGCAGACCGCTATCCCTCAGCCCGCACAGGCGCAGAGCATCTGCCCCGCCCGAGCAGCATCTCCTCCCACTGTGTCCCTCGCGCACCACCTGTCTCTCCCCGGGGCAGCCCCGCCCAGCCC